GAAACTACCGAGTCGTGTTGAAATGTGAAACTACCGAGTCGTGTTGAAATGTGAAACTACCGAGTCGTGTTGAAATGTGAAACTACCGAGTCGTGTTGAAATGTGAAACTACCGAGTCATGTTGAAATGTGAAACTACCGAGTCATGTTGAAATGTGAAACTACCGAGTCATGTTGAAATGTGAAAATACCGAGTCATGTTCAAATGTGAAAATACCGAGTCATGTTCAAATGTGAAAATACCGAGTCATGTTCAAATGTGAAAATACTGAGCAGGAAAATGCAGGGCAGGAAACTTTATGAAAAGATGTTAAAGCAGAGGAAGAACCAATGTAACTCAGACCCTGTCCCAATACTCCCACTACACCCTACCCCCCTCTATGAAGTGTGCACTCAGTCACTCAGTCACTCAGTCACTCAGTCACAGTGCACATAGGGCTTTGAATGTGCACTACAAGTGTGCAAACATGGAGAAACTGGGACGCACTACTCACTCCAACCTTTCAACAGGAATGTGCATTTGAAGGACACAGGAAGTGTGAGTATTTAAACCAGTCCCACGCTTCAGATGATTGACAGCTGTGGTACGAGCGTGACGCCATATTGGAAGGGGCTAACAGTACTGTGGTGAGTTGTCCTCGCCCTGAACAATATGGCCGCTCTCTCTGACATGACGAGTCTGTGGATCAGATTATAAACTGGAGATGATGGAGGTCAGAAGTCTTTTATTCTGAAAGTCTTCAGCAGTTCTCAGTCCTCGKCCGTCTCTTCAGTCTTCTTAGTTGTCTGACGGGGGAACCAGGAACCGCTGGAGGTTCAGGTTCTAAATAATTAAAGTTTGTAGCCGAAGTCTAAACTCAGTAAAAATGAAACCACTTTATTTATTAACGTCTCATTTGAGTTTTTATTCCACAGATTCTGAAACTTTTCTTTCTGAGGTTTGATTTTATTTTCACACTTTGTGGGTCTGATCATTTCCCCCGACGCTGCCCAGAATCAGAACCAGAACCAGTTAAACAAAAGGTCGAGGTTCTGAGGAGTTCTTAAAACCGGATCAAAGCAGATCCCAGACGCTCTTCCTCCCTGTGAAGCTGCAGATCAGAACCCTCGTGATGTTTTGGTTCTGATGTGGAGCTGGGCTCATTAAGCCGTTTTGGGTCAGAGCAGCTTCAGACAGAATAGCAGAGCGGCTGGCCCGTTCTGGAGGTTCTGTGGGCTTTGTTTGGACCCTGCAGGTCTCCTCGTTGGTATTCAGCCTTCATCTTCTGAAGAGTCTGTTTCTTATCTGTCCTCCTTCGTCTCTGACCTTCTGTTCTTCAGAGCCACGGCCTGAATGCAGATCAGAACCACGTTTGGGTCGGCTTTCATTTCAGCTCAGCTGAGCAGAAAAACATCAGCCGAAGAGTTTTATTTGTTTCACTCAGCTGACCTGCAGCTTCCTACAACAYTAATTATTACAAGTTTCATTCAGTTTGCTTTATTCTTACTGACTGGTTGAGAGTTTTACTAAGTGTTTGTGTTTTAGAATTATTTTAGTTCAGAAAAAAAACACAATTTATGACTTTTACCTCAAATAAAACCACAGTCAGAAAAAAGCTRTAAATATTATAGAAGCTCTGTCAGTTTTAGCTGCTGGATTTTCTGTTTAAATGATTTAAATTAAACAG